CAGTAATGACCTTGCGGCCTCGCTGTATAGCTACATTCTCGTTCCCTATAACTGCTGTGACCCGTACGGTCCTAGCCAGATTGGGTCGAGTTTCGTTCTATGATTATTATCTTTTAATAGTACTAAATCATTAACGTATAGTTTTTGTGGATTTTCATTTTTATCATAACGTTCCTTACTTTTTATTTTATTTTTTTAATTAAATGATCTCTAGCTATCTTATGCGAAATTTGCATATTTTCTTTTAGATCGAATATATAATCGTCATAATTGTAACGTGGTTCAGGTTCGGCTTTTAATCTAATCGGTACCTCCAACGTACGTCCATAGACTAATGCGTATGGTTGAAAATTAGTAGAAGTATGTACCGTTGAATTATATACAAAGAATGCAAAGGGTAGTAAATGATCCCAATTATTTAAATTCTTATCTACATAATGTCGTAAGTACTCGGCTAAGTCCTATGAGCGCGTTCTACGGGGTTACCCTGCGGTCTGAATGGACTTGTGTTAACCTTTTCTATTTTTAATATTTTACAAGCATTTGCAAACGTTTTCGAGAGGAAATTAGTTCCTTGATCCGTGAGTATTGTTTCTGGTATGCCGTGTACACAAACGAAGTGTGTAACAAAGGCTTCCGCAACAGTATTTGCCTTCTGGTCAGGAAGTGGAATTCCTAAAGTGTAACGTGTCAAATCGTCCTCCATCGTTAAAATGTATACATTATTGGACAGTGTAATCGGCAAGGGCCCTACTATATCCATAAATATTTTTTCGAATGGTTTAGACGAGGTGGATGTAATAGCCATTGGTTGTTTTATGTGTCGATTTGATACCTTATTAACCTGACATGACGCACAATTCTTTATATATTTTCTAACATCTTCTTTCATACCCTTCCATAAGAATTGTTTTTTAATGCGCTTAATGGTTTTATTCACACCTAAATGTTCGCCTAGTTTTGAGTCGTGAAATTGTGATAAAATGACTGCTTTTTCTTCTTCACTATATTCTACATTTGCACATGTAATTATTGCTATATCTGTATTGCAAAATATGTATTGTAACATTGACCTTATTTTTTTCCTTTCTAAATTATCGTGATCGCCTATCTTGCCCATGGCTAATTTATTCAGATTGTTTTCCTTACAAAATGATTTTAAATTTATTAGTGATAAATGTATGCTTTCTAAGAATATTATAAACCTGTTTTCCTGTTTGAAATAGGGTGTGTCTCCTATTACTTTACTAGTCGGCAATATTGTACCGTTTCCAAATTGTTTTTTTAATTGATAATTCGTTCCTGTTTTAAAATTATATTGCTTGGCAATTTCTGATACTATATTATATTTTTTTTGTGAATCTATTAGTGTACCTATAGTTTCTTTTACATTAATATTTGTGATAATTTGTGTTCCTAACTTTTCGATATATTGTTCGTATGATTTGTTTTTTATTTCCTGAATTGAATACATGCATGTGAGAGTATCTACATTTGAATTTAGAACTCCGGGTTTGTGACGTATTTGTAATTGATTTGTGTTAGCGGCGAATGAATTAAATGTTATATGATTATTTTCTAAGGTTGAGAATATATGGAATATTCGTGAGTCGGTTGTTCCGCGATAATCTGGTTTATCGTACGAGTACCGCGCCTCTCGTTCGACACGTTTTCGTTTTCCGAATTATTAACGTTTCTACTCTCATCGTTTCTCTTTTTATAACACGAGTCGATATTATGACCAGTTCGATTACAGTATGAACACGTAACTACCTGTATATTATAATTCGTAAGTGGTTGCGTAAAATTTTTCCTATCAGGTGGACGGTTGTTATGGCCATTGCTCGCATAACTAGGTCTCGTATTATTCCTACATCGAGATGCATAATGATTACCATTACAATTATAGCATTTTATTGCTGGCCTATTGATTGGTTGAGAAAAATTGTTTGCACGCGGATAATTATTTGTCCTTACAGGTTTATTTGGTCTAATGTTTTCGTTGTTCCTATTTTCGTAATTCGATCTGCGCTGGTTATAATTTTGTGAATGAATATTCGAATAATGGTTCCTATTTTCCTGTTCTAATCTTAGTTCTACCTGTTCTGACATGGCGATTTGTTTCGCGATTTCCAGAGTTTTAGCATTGCGAGATTTTACTATTGTTCTAATCGGTTCTACTAATCCTTTAATAAATATCGCTAGAGTTTGTTCCCTTAATATATCATATATAATTTTTGCTTCTGCAGGTTCCTTGCCTAATGTACTTACGGTACATAACTGATAATATAGTTTCTCTACTCTATGACAATAATCATTTGCATCCTCATTGTGATACATTCTAATCGAATTTAATTGAAGTTGTAACGACGATGCCGTGGTTGTTACCTCAAATGCATCTGTTAAATAAATTTTTATAAACTGCCATTTCGATACATTTTTGTATTTAATCATTTCTAATGCTCTACCCGTTAAACGTGTGGTAATATATTTTACTAGTGTTGGTGCACTATTTGTGTCGACTAAACTTACTGCCATATCGCATGCATTTATGAATTGATAGATATCGTCAATTCCTGTGCATAGTGGAATTAATTTAAAAGCGTCTTCTAATCTTATGGTTACTGCCATTTTTTTAGTGCGTGTTATAGGTAAAAATACTAATGACTGATGTTCAAAACTATCTGTGACTTGGCTACGTGTGATTACTCCTGGACTTGAGTTTCTACTTGCGCTATCTCCTAACTGGGTATCTACTATAATATTCAACTGGGCTTTCTGTTGGGCTTCAATCTGGGCTTGGGCTTCTCTCTGGGCTAATAACTGGGCTTCTAACTGGGCTTCTTCTACTACACTAGTGTCATACAATGAATTAGCTACGTTCAAGGGAGATGTACCTTCTTTGTCCATAAATTACTTAGCTACCTATTTAATACGTTAATACTCATAATAATAATAATCAACAACGCCCTATAAATACAATAATAACTTCAATAATATGCCCTATAATAAATTCAATAAACTTCAATAATACTTCAATAATAAAAATGCCCTCAATAAATCAATAAACTTCAATAATAATCAATAATAACTTCAATAAAATATGCCCTCAATAATAAACTTCAATAATCAATAAATATGCCCTCAATAAATTCAATAAAACTTCAATAATAATCAATAAAATATGCCCTCAATAAAATTTAAAACGTTTTACACCATTATACTTATAGTCAACTACTTAGAATTATCTAATATGTCCTAATTATGTTGCATACGTCTATGTAACAAATTTAAATAATTATTCACTCACAATAATGCTGTGTTCCTGGTTGCTGATGACATGCTGACGGATTTGTTGGTACCGCGACGTGAGATATTTGTTTTTGATGGTTCTTCTTGGAGTTGTCTTCTCGGAAGAGTGTACAGTTCTTCTTTGTTGACGGTAGCCTTTGATGGTTGCCTCCCTTTGTAGAATCCTTTATCGACTGCGCCAGTGTTACATGCGGCCCTTCAGGGATCCAAAAGCTTGTTGCACTTTTACAATAAAATGTAGTCAATTTTAAACATAAATCAATTGTAATTTATTAAAACCAATAATAATTAATATAGTCGTGGTGAATTGCAGCGTCGTGAGTTGACTCGTTGTAGTAGTCGATAATCTCCATGTAAGTCGTGTGTAATGGCTGGTGGCTAAACGGCTCGCTCGGTCTTGGCGGCTCTGGTACATCTACCTTGGCTGTCTCGCTGTCCCCTATATATATGGTGGCGGCGTCCTTTGAAGTGAGCGGCGCGTGTACAGTCGTCCTTGATATGGACCTCACGAGTCACGACTATGAAAGTGGTATTCTTTAGTCGAAAACACTTTTGGGTGTGGTCGCATTCCTGGTTGTTATTTTGAGCAAATATATGATATTGCGTAATCCCAATTCTGGTTGTTATTATGAGCAAATACATGATATTGCGTAATCCCATTACACTAGTATTAAGAGGACGCTATACATTTGTTGTCTCCGTCTTACACACGCACGACATAGCAAATTGTCGTTCACTAGTTTCAATAGTATGCTGTTAGTTTTGATATTAGAGTGAATTGACCTATTATAAAACTTTTAGGTAAGAACATTATATGTGCTTAAGCGTTGCCGATGTTTCGAAAATCGAAATATTCATTTTCAAGCAAGATTATGGGTATGTTAAATATTAAAAATGCTCATAATTCGCTTGAAAATTAAAATATCGGATAAAAGCCAACTCATAAGCATAGATAATGTTCTTACCTAAAAGTTTTATAATAGGTAAAATCACTCTAATATCAAAACTAACAGCACACGATTGAAACTAGAGAACGAAAATTTGCTGTCGCACGTGTGTAAGACGGAGACAACAAATGCATGGGTAGCAATGGACCATCCTCTGAATGATTTTTTTCATTTTTGCTATAGAAACAAAAGTTTGTTCAAATACAATATATGTATAAAAGTAGTTTACGTATTATTATTTTATTTTAGTTTATCAATGTTTGATAGTGTGTTCTTTTATTTGTTTAAGGACGTATACAACATTACAACTAACAGAATACAGGCACTTTAATAGTGTAATACCTACTTTGTAATTGTTATGATCTTGTGTAATGTTAATTGTTACGAGTTATGAGAATATGAGATAATATATTTGATTACTTAAAATATAAGCGATGACGCCCGGTGTGATGGCTGTCGGTATTATCATTGAATTGTTTGGCTTTATTACTATCAGTATCGTGTCAGCTGTTGAGGTGTAGAATATTTCGACGAAGGGCACTAGAAGTCTAAAGTTTTATATAATGGTTATGCGGTAAGTTACCCATACACACATTCGCCGTTCGAGCACCTACATGTGCGTCGTGCGTGTAATATGATATATTTATCATTTATGCAACTATAACCCATCCATAATATTGTTGTTATCCAATTCAAATTGGTTTGTGAAAATTTACCGTCGATCTCGCTCCCAACGTAAAAATGTTTAGCGGAAAATGCACGAGTTCGGCCAGACTGGACGGCAAGATCGCCATCGTGACAGGGGCGAACACAGGCATCGGCAAAGTCACAGCTAAACAATTTTACGCACTAGGTGAGTCTCATAATATTATTACCTGTAACTTATAAGATAACAATATTATGCTATATATAGCCCAGCGTAGACATGTCGTCGGTGAGTGGGTTCCGACTTCTGTCCTACTGAGTGAGCGAAAACTGGCGGAATTTTTTCGAGAATCGTGCAAATTGTAGTGGGATACCATCGATATTCGATATAGCCATATTGCCCATATTCATATAAGTATCTATACTTGCGTCTTGCAGAAACACCTCTGCAACGATTCACCAGTCGGGTAACTGACTTGTCGTTTATGTTTCACCTGCGAGGTAGAAACAATTAGCAATAGCAAACTACAACAATTTAAAATCTTATTTTCCTGGTTACTTTACTAAAATTCATAATAAGTACATAATATGCCATTATATTGTAATGTAATATTATCATTCATGGACTTACCTATAATTCAAGTTAATCGTATTACTCGTACTCTGCTACATCTGTGGGCTGTGATCTTCAAAAACTAAGCACCTACCCCTAACTCCGGAGAAGAGGGATACACGGCTAATAGTGTGTATAATTTATAGTCACGTGCGTTCACGTATAATACAAAAAGGATTTTCATTTTTTAATAGGTACTTAAAAATAAATATTTTAAATTTGTTTGGATTAATTCAAAGTACCCAATTTTTGAATCTGATTATAAGAACAATTTTGAGGGTAAAAACATTTATCCAAGTCTAGTTTATTTTTTCGAACTTTTGAAAATATCAATATTTTTTGATTAAATTTATTTGGAACGTACCTAATAACGTTTTTCAAAATATTATTTTTGGGAATTTGCTGACGAGTATATTTCTTAAGTTATTTACTAACTAAAATTTTTGTCATACTTTCAAGTAGCATCATTTTTTTTTGTCAGCTTTTACAACTATTTTATTTTTACCTTACCTATAATTATTTAATGATTCAAGCTTATTTTCCAATCATTATGAATTTCCTATTGTATAAATCTAAAATCTATGAAAAAAGTTATAATTTAATATTGCCAGTCAGGTAGGTACGATAATAAACGGCTAGTACCTACATCTAAATTGGTTTGAACACTTAAAAATCGATATAGACGTTCGTTTTTACTGTTGTTTTTCATAATATATAACCTTAATTTCTGGACCTATTTTGTGTATACATTAAACACACTAATAAAACTTGTGAATTTAAATGTACAACAAACAACAAATAAGTCCAAGATAAATATAATATAATATAATATAATATAATATAATAAATAATAAACAATATTTACATTGATGTTAGTTTTAAGTAGACAAATTACAAATATAAATAATATTACACGTTTGAATAGGTATATCTGAAAATTTTTATTTTCATTTGTGTTTTGATTACAATAATTTAAAATTGTAAGTTATAACCAATTAATTTTAAAAGCTATAAGATATTTAAAAATTGTAACCGGAAACAATGCGGATATACCCTGTGAAACAATCCGGGACCAAATTTGGAACTACCACTAAGCCGTACTAAACAATAGTCAATAATAGGTATAGTAGTAACTAGTAACTAATAATAACAGCAATAATGTATACCTATTATAATAATATAATAAATAATTAAAATACATATTGTTTAACAAGTACAAGTAGGTACCTAGGTATATGATAAGTATATAATTGCATATTATGTAACAGATTTTGTGTGAAATAAATGATACGGATACAGGGGGAAGGACGGCCCTAACGGGTGAAGTGCCCCCCTGTAGCGCCGTGATACCATCACAAAAAAAAAAAAAAAAGGTATATGATAAGTAGGTACCTACTGTATGGCTAACAAATCTAAATAATATAATACATTACAATCAGATACCTAGGTGTATTTAAGAATGGTGTAAGTATAGGTATTTTGTCTAAGTTCGATTACACATTATTTTTTCATCGCGAACACTGTATTATACATTTATACCTATAATCGAATGCAATTAACAATAATTAGACATGAACAATTAAATAAATTATTATACCTCAGTAAACAACATTTCAGGTGCAAAGGTCATATTGGCGTGTCGGGACGTCGGAAAGGCGGAAAAAGCTGTGTCGGAAATCTTGGCTGAAGTAAAAAGCGACGGCCTCGGACAACTAATCGTGGAGGAATTGGATTTGGCGTCTTTCGCGTCGGTCAAGCGTTGCGCGAAAAACATTTTACAAAAGGAAAAACAAATTCACCTACTGGTGAACAACGCCGGTTAGTGGTAAACGCCTACCCAGGTCTACCATCACAAGGGCGACCGCAGGGGTGCCGCCAAAGGGGCGATTGCCCCCCCCCCCTCCCCCCCATTAATTTTTAATTGTGTGACTATTATTAGATTGTAAGTAATTTTTATATCTTGCCCCTTGGTGGGATTTTATCCTGCTGACGCGCTTGTACAATTACAGGGTCCGAGTGCACGCTGGGATTAAGGGTTTAGCCGTGGGGTACTGGGGTGGGAGGCACGTTTTGTCAATTAGGTAATTTTATTAATTGTATTTGCATGCCTAATGAAATTTGGAAAATTTGAACTAGTTGTAAAATAAATTTATAAATTTACTCCTTTTCTTTTTTTAAGGAGGGTTATTTAGATGCTACTCGAATCTCTAGTGCAATAGTAATAGGTTAGTTACACGGACATTATTTATTGCAGGCGTAATGGCTTGTCCCAAAGGAAAAACCCAGGACGGTTTCGAAACCCAATTCGGTGTCAATCACTTGGGGCACTTTCTGTTTACTTCGCTCCTATTGCCAAGAATCCGAAACTCGGCCCCCGCTCGCATAGTTAACGTGTCGTCAAGGGCGCATACGAGTAAGTTTCAAAAACACGTCAAAAATTGTGTACGTCAATAAAAATAAAATAAATATTTTTGTTTAGGAGGTTTAATCAATTTTGAAGACATTAACTTCGACAGAAATTACTCGGCTATGGCAGCTTACAGCCAGAGTAAACTGGCTAATGTGCTGTTCTCGAGAGAACTGGCGCGAAGACTCGTAGGTACGTATAGGTACTCGCGGAAGACACCAATGAACATACATAACTGACGACGATATGATTAATTTTATCAAATATACGTGTAAAATACAATTCTTTTATAGTTATACTGTCGATAAATGTACATACATATGTGTTCATAAAAATATTATTTTTACATGAGTGAAATCTTTACAAATGTATAACAGATTATTTTTCAAAACATGTTTTTATGCTTCAAATTATGTAAAAACACATACATTTACCAAGATAATGGCTGTATAGTAAAATATTAAACAATAATCATCTTATATTATGCTATCAAGGGACCGGAGTTCACGTGTATAGCCTACATCCGGGAATCGTGAGCACCGAATTGGGCAGAACGGTAGACGAAGTGTACTTCCCCGGCTTATGGCTGTTGGGCCGCGTTATTCTTTTTCCATGGGTAAAGACGCCGGAACAAGGAGCTCAGACCACTTTGCACTGTTCGATAGACGAAAAGGCTGGAGAGGAAACCGGACTTTATTACAGGCATGTTGTTTTCGGAGATATATTTTATTTTATAAATTTTAATTATACTGTCAAATGCGCGTTTTAGCGATTGCATGGCGAAAGAACCATCGGCATTAGCCAAAGACCCGGAATTGGCGAAAAAACTTTGGGAAAAAAGCGTGGAAATGGTCAGCTTAAAGGACTACGATATGTTCGACTGCGACGGAGACACCCTCCCCAAACCATTGGAAGATGCCTAACTCTCGAACACTGAACACTAACGTGTATTAAAAAAAAAAAATGTATTCCATCAATATAAATAAAATTTCATTCCAATCGCAGTGATTTTACATTAGTGCAGTTGTTGTTTATAGCAACAACAGTGTTGACTGATAAAAGTATTTAACGCAGTTTTTTTAGTCACAAACACTTCAATATCTATCAAAAAAAAAAAATAACTTTTCTTATCAAATATTATTATTACCTATATAAAATTACAACATGAACGAATCACAGAAAATCAAACAAGTGAGTTCCACTTCCGTTATTTGTACAATGTTTCTTTATTAGATCTGACTGGTAAAAATTACTGCGTACACGCAATAACATTGACATTTAAAAAAAATAATTATTTTAGATTCTGAGTGAAACGATGAATGTATTGATTTTACAATGATGTGTGTTTTTTTATTTTTTTTTTTATTTTTGTGTCTGTCATCACGTTTTAGGACAGTAAAAGTGCTTGGATTTTCTTCATCAGTAGCTTTTCTGATAGGAAAGTGAATCTAGTTGGTACTTTGGGGGGTCAAAAGTATAAATTTCCCAGTAGTTTTCACAAGCGCCGGGAAAAACAACATAAAAATTAAGGAAAAACGGGAATTTTTACGCAAAATTGGTTTTCCAAAAAATCGATTTTGGTTTTTGGTGTAACTCTAAAACAAATGAACGTATATACATGAAATTTTCACTGGTTGTTTATATTTGCATTTTCTATACACGATAACATTTTCAAAATATTTTGATTTATTTTGAACTGTTTAGGGACATTTTCATTTTTCATTTTTTTTTAGTTTTTTTTCTAGAAATATCAATAAAATTTTATTTGTTGGTTGCGAAAGCTTGAAAATTTAATAGAAGGCTCCTAATATGTTGTTTCAAAGGCAGATGAAAAATATTAAAAATCCTTAGTCACAATTTTTTTTTATAAGCACTTAAAGTTCAAAAATTGACAAAATATGGAAAAATCACGAAAATTAGCAAATTATTTTGAGTTAAGAATTCGTAAAAATTTTTCTTTTTAAATCTAAGATTTGGAAATTTAACACAAGATTCCTTATAAGATTATCTACCTTTATAAATAAAAAAATCTCTACCGGACAGTCAAATTAAATTTTTATGAGCGTTTGAAATTCAAATTTTTACAACATTGGATTTTCACTCGATTTCTCATGTAGCGATTTCCTTAGTTTGTTGTAATTCAAAAACGAATAACTGTAGATACATGAAAATTTCACTGAATGTTTATATTAGCATTTCATATACACCATACAATTTTGAAAATATTTTGACTCTTTTTGAGCTGTTTATGGACATTTACAGCTTTCAATTTTTTTTAGTTTTTTTTTCTATAAATATCAATAAAGTTTTATCTGTTGGGCCAAAAAGTGTAAAAATTTAATACAAGGCTCCTGATAAATTGTTACAATATCAGTTGAAAAATATTAAAAATACATAGGCACGATTTTTTTTTATAAGCATTTAAAGTTGGAATTTTGACAAAATTTATCAAAATCTCGAAAATTATCAATCGTTGGAATTAAAAAATTATAAAATGTTCAGTTTTTATAGCTAAGAGTTGAAAATTTAAAACAAAGATTCTCTTAAATAATTCATACTGTAACCAAAAAATCTAAAAAATATATAAACACACTTATTTTTTACAGACATTTTAATTTCAAATTTAGACAAAATTTCATATTTAAACCAAGAATTACGATTTTAGTTATTTTGTTGTGATTGAATAATACTATTCGTGGGTACTTGAAACTTCTAAAGTGTACTATTATATATCTATGATAGTATCACGGTTTTTGTTGATGTTTAACGCGTTATAAGTATCTAATGGATATTGTGATATGATTAATTTGGAATTTATTATAGGTACCTATTATAGGTCAATTTTTTGTTTAATACCATAGATATGTATATAATATGTCTTAAACATAGACTGACATACCGTCTCCGCTCAGAATCGTTTTTCTTATACAATGATATTATATCGTTGAATTCAAATTTAATATCATCCATTATACAGTGACCCACTTGTAACCTACTGTACAGCAGAGCGACACCCACTTGCCCACCTTTTTTTTAAATGAAGTTATTTATTTTTTACTCGTACCTATATCGAATGTATTTGTGGTGAAAAAATAATTCACAAATGTATGCCCACTACTATGTTTTGATTTATCTCAAGAGTCATAACAATTTCCTAAACTGAACTCTATAGGAATGCCTTCTATCAAGATTGTAGGCCAAGTGCATACTGCATACAGCATAAACTATTTTATATCATTTTAGTTGGATAGGATGGTCAAGTTCATAGAGTTCGAAGCAGATGAAATTGTACAAAATATTGAAACTCAATCAGAAAATGAATATCATATGAAAAAGAACGAGATGATACTCAAGAGAAAAATGGAAATTAATCAATTGTATAACAAAAAGACAAATCTTATTAATAGGACAACTGCGACGTGAGTAGGTATTAGAAAGTGTACTTTTTTTGAATAAAACATTATTTTTGGTCTGGGCCCATAGAATGATTACCGACCAAATGACCAGTGCCAAGTTGGAAATATTGAGTACCAGAGACAAATACATTAAATCTGTGTTGGCCGATGTTAACAAAGAGCTGTTAAAAATGCGTAAACATAAAGCATGTTTATGTGACTATCGAGAAATTCTTAAAAAGTTAATACTACAGGCAATGTATCAAGTAATATCATTCTGATGGCACTATGATAGATGTTTGAACAACAAATTAACACAAATTTTGGTATATTTCAAGATTGTAGAACAAGAAGTATTCTTAATACTGGTATCAGAAGATGTGGAATATGTGACCTCAATGATCCCCGAATTAAAACAAATCTATTTAGCCAACACTGGAATAAATGTCAAAATAAATATTGATAAAAGTATTAAATTACCAACTCAAGAAATAGGAGGCGTTGTGGTCACAGCCAAAGATCAAAGGGTACTTGTTGAAAATACACTTGTAGTGCGATTGCTCTATCTCACCCAACAAGCAATACCGATAATATGCACTGGACTGTTTGGACCAAACCCCACTAGAACTTACTTAAGAGATACATAATTACAAAATATGAACTTATTATATTATATTATTATTCAATATTTACGAGTAAAAGTAGGATATGATATCACAGGAATAAGGTTTTAAGTAATATTAAGTATTTAATTCTAATACTAAATTTGAATAAGATCTTGATATTTAGGGGCGTTTGTATCTGTCGAGCTTATGTTATCATCACTGAAACATTGATAAAATTTCAAATAAAAATATAATAATTTAAATAAATTTTGAATCTAATTCACCTTATTAAGATTGATGTAAACAATGACGTATCATAATGTTCAAAATCTAAAAAATAAAAACAACAATGTGTTTGATTGTCAGTGACTCCGTCTTGTAACATTAAATCAAAATTTAATATATTAATATACCAATTGATGATTTCTGGTCGTTCACATCTGAGAATAATAGACTTTGAGCTTCGGGTACAGTTTTATTGATTGGAAATGATACACCTTCACCAAGGCTGTGGGAGAATCATTAGTATTAATACATGCAGTTAGATGATATATTAAAATTTAATTACCAATGTTAATAAGCTGTAGAACATTTTAATACTATCTTAAATATTAAATATAATACCAAATTTGTATGGTTCAAACAAAAGATTTAACCTAATTGTTATAAATTACTATAAAGTAAAAACAACACTTTTTTTAGTATATTTTGTTAGATAAAAAAAAACTCATGATATTATTTTATACTGTGTTATTTGTACAGGTTCAAAACATGTAGAGTAAACAAACATTACCAAAAATATACAAAATGTCAAAAATATAAAATTGCTCACCTTATTAAACAAATTAAAATATAATGTACCTTAATAGATTAACAACATCAATAAAATTAAAATTAATAATACATCTATATGAATATTGCATTTTTTAATTAATAAGATTAAAATAAACAATAAAAGAGAACACAACACAATACTGATTTGAGCCTTATGTATACTTGTTTATTTTTATATTGTGCATAGAATAAGTGTCTAATTGTGTCTTGGTTTATAAAAATTGTCTAAACGGTAAATGGTGTCCTGGATTTGTTTGATGATTGCCTAACACTATCATTAGACTTCAGGTCGCTCGCCAACGGATAAATTACACCATCCCCCAAACTAAAACAGAAAAATTAAAATCAGGCAACAGGCAACGTATTACGAATATCAAGATGTATTCCCGGGAATATATATTATATTTACACTACTCACATGGGAAATCGGTAAGATCACGCTAAGAACGGCTGTTAATATAAAATTGTGTAACAACCAAAATGATTGATCCATAAAATAGAAAATAATTTAAACTACACATTTAAAAAACTAAAATAGACTGATCGAAATATAGCCTTTCTATACGTTTTCAAAACCATTTCATAATAATTAAATGCACTTTACCAACTCATAAAAACATAGTTTAATACTTTATTAAAATATTTTACTTTTAAAATAATTAAATAAATTATAATTACAAAATAAAAAACATTTCTTAACATTAGATTAACATCAAAAAATCAAAAAATGAAATATTGAAAAATTTTACATTTAAGGAGTTTACTGGCTACTAGATTCTTAGGAAAATTTTATAGGCAACCTCTTATGAATTCAGCCATCAGCCATGGCATGTTAGTTATAAATGATAAATATTAATTACAACAGTTTTAAGTATACGAGAATAATAAATGAACCAGGGTCAGGTATTTATCATACTCGGATGCACACAGGTCCCCCACATCAAATTTTGGGCCCCTGTAATGAAGCTATTTAAGGGCCCTATAAAAATTGTTCAATAAAATATAACCCACTACAAGTTATGGGAGTATTCCATAAACAATTTTTATTATAATATACATTTAGGTAAATTATAATATGTTATTTAATATAAAATAAGTATTTCTATCAAAATTTCAAAAATTTCTAATTCATTTCAATAGGCCCCTGAACTCCAGGTTCAACAGCCCCACTGTGGGGGCCCTGGATGCACATTTCAACAGTTATTCTATGACCTTAAAAAGAAAGTTACATTTTTCACTCAAACTTCAATAACAGATTATTTTAGCTTGACATTTTGAAGAGACTGTTTTATTGAATGTATTGACTCTATTTTGCGAACGCATAACATAACAAATTTTATACCTAGTTATTTTTAATATTGCATCAAATTTAAAGGTAAGAATATTAGGAACCTAGATAGGCTTTTTTAATACTTTGAATTATAGCAAGTAATGAGTATTTTAAAATTGCAAGTCTCTTAACGATATTAAAATTTTTCCTGTGGTTGCATATAGACAGCAAGGTTTCAAGAACAAAAGTAAGTTATTAATGCGAACAATATTAATTTTTAATTTTTAATTTTTAATTGATATCTCAAAAATAAATTTACTCTAAAAATAATTTAATAATATTATGTAAATTTTGCACAAAATTCATACTTCAAAACCTCCAAATTTCATTCAAAGAAAATTGTCCTAGTTTAATTTTTATTTATATGCATTTCATTATGTATTACAATAATCATCAGTACTATATTAAATAAACTTAATAACCAAAAATTATTTTCTTAAATTTGTGAACAATTCTATTAAACTATATTTATAATCAAAATAATTACCTCTACAATCATAATAAATAAATAAAATAATATACTAAAAAATAAATGTTTAATGTTTGTTGGCCCAATTTTAATAATTTAAGTGTACTGTAGTTATAATTAAAGAAAATGTAAAATGTGATGAATATGTTTTATAATATGTAATGAATGAGAATAATATGTAATTTTTTTATCAATGACTAACACGTTTCCATAATTGGTAAGTGCATTTAAATTTTGAATACCCATTTACTACTCACCGTGTGTCTATAGGAAAAGGCCACAGAAGAACTTCTTTGCCAAACACTTCTCGTATATTTCTGCAGCATCCCAAGTTGAATCCATTTTTATCACTACCTTCCAAAAATTTAGGAGGACGGAAAGACTCTATAAAAACAAAGAAAAAAATGTAATAATGAATAATATATATAAATATTGAAGAAGACATAATATTTTAGGATCAATTTAATGTAGAATAGCTATAAACTATTAACTGGGTAAAATTGTATTAGTTAAAATATGAACTAAATAAACTTTTCAAACATTATACACTTTTGATATAAATAATAATAAGGTTAAGCTTAATATAGCTATAACATTTTCTATAACCTTATAATATTAACCTAAATTGTATACAATGAAAATCTAGACAACGTTAATCTAGTCGGGTTGCATAAACAATCACTAAACATTTAATGAATCGATAGTGTGGTAATGGTCCCTAAAACAACATTTAGGCATTTAGAGATCAATTATTAGTTCATTAAATTTTAGAGGACCATTAAAGTGATCAATTTTTATGTAACCTCACCTTAATATTATTAAGGCAGTTTACATGGTCCATATATTGAAATAGTATAAAATCGCTATTAACAACAAAAGAACACATTGACCACACACTAAATTTAATTCATTGTTCATAAATAATTTATATTATAAGATTGTAATATTATTTTAATTACCTAAAGTTGTTCTGTTTTTTGAAACCAGGTAGATATGATATGCAAGCAATGAGAATAAGCTTAATGAAAACATTGAAGCAATAAAAAATAAGAATATTATATGTATTTTATATGATCCATCTTGAATTCGCTGAAAATAAAGATAATAATTTATTAATTATTAACAATTTTTGTATTAATAAAAGGTATATGCTCACCTAACTTTTAGCCCTTAATTATGTATTTATTCATTTTAAGTACAATTAAAAACCATATTTTCACACATGGATTATTATACCATTTAAAGAGTAGCGATACAAAATTGTTTGGCAAATATTGATTGATATTTATTATAAATAAAAAATTTGAAAGATTAATGTCTGAGTTAACCAAAACATTAATTTTATTTAAAACCATTTCTAATGAGTATTGTCCTTAGAACATACATTTTACAAACTTAGTGTGTATCCCCTCATGACACTTAATGGCATAAAAAATTCTAAGATTCTAAACATATTATAGTCTTTTAGTACCATACATAAAAATCTCTAATATCAGAATTTAAATAAATGCAAGATTAAAAGGATGCTACACTCGTATGTGTAAGTTTTCTCTATCTTACATATTATGTACAACATGGTAAAAACTGTTTTGCGCGAGATGAAACCACTCAGGCTGTAGTGAAAGTTAAGACCCTGAAAAGATATACAATATATTAATTTAAAACATTATCTGTGAAATATAGTTTTTATTTTTTTTATCACTTATAGATAAAAAGTTCTTATTGTTCAAAAATCCATTATTTTTGGTGTTTTTCAAACTAGAATATCTTTTTTTGTAGTTCCGATATCAAAAAATAAAAATGATATTTCACAGTAAAAGTTTTCCTTGTTATGTGGTGAAAATTTTGTTTCTTAGTTATAACAGCAGCCTTCTAGGGTCTATCCCGAGCAAAACAGTTTTTGCTATGTTTTACATTTGTAAAACAGAGATAACACATGCGGGTGTAGCGTTCTCTTAAAGGAAGACTAAAAAAAAGATTTAAAGTATGCTATAATCTAAAAAATATGGTGGGTCTTTAACACTTTACCTCTAATTATTCAATGAGATACAAGGGTCTGAAAATACGAGTGAGATGTCTAGAACAGACTGAATGGTGACGTATGTTTTACGTGTGAAAGTGTCTAGATCAGCGTTTCCTGAACTTTTCCTCCGCCGGACCCCTTAGAGCAGCGTTTCTGAAACCTGGGGGTTGGAAACGTCTTGAAAGGGATTGCATTGGTCAGAAATAATTAAACGCTGATAGTAGGAAATTGAATTGAATTTTATAAATTTAGGTTTTACCAGGTCACCAATTACATACATGCAAAATACACATGTAATTTATATAAAAGTCACACTCAATAATTTGTATTCTAACTAAAATAAGTAATTCTTTCAGTGTCATATTATTTGCAACCATTCATAAATAACTACTTTGCTTAAAAGAAAATCAAGGTCATGGGGTGACTGATTTTATTTTTCACCTATTTCGGGGGTCGCGACATTAAAAAGGTTGAGAAACCCTGCCTTAGAAGTTAGAGTTGTTTTTTATGTAATCTGAAGTGTATTTATGTGCTTAAGACACTGTTGTGAATATAATTTTGACTTACTTTCTAGTTTTTTCATTAGTATGTGATAATTTTATTTAAGTAAATTTATATTAGGTAGACAATAATAACAAGGTTAAATATCATATTTAAAATTGTACTATTGTCCTAAATACATAAATAAACATAATATTTTAAAAAAAAAAATTCTAAAGTACATGTAATAAAATCATTGTGCAAATAATACAATTTTTACACGTATAACACTAGTGACGGTACACATACTAACTGTATGAGTCACATGACTACTTATTAACTCTCATTTTCTCATTGAATATTTATTTTTTTAACTTCAGATTTTACTTAAACGTTTTTCATTATTTTGACTACAATAATTTATTAAACAAGTGTTATGAACTCCTTAAAAGTAAAAAAAAATACAGATGAGCATATTTGGTTAATCACCCTGTACTCGTGTACTTATATTAAAATAATGCAATATACCTCATCGCAGTAACATTTTTTTATTTCAAATCATTGATAGCTATTACTTAGATTTTAAATGTTTCAGGTGTCAAAAGAAAAATTAAAATATTGAACATTATATAACTATTAAATAGTTTTCGAATAAATATATCTTTGATAGCTAAAATAAAAAAAAAAGTGAGTGTGTCAGCCCATCATTACACTCTGGGGAAGTAAGACTTCTTTCATAAGTAATTGGGTCTGTAAAATTATAAGTGAATTAGGGAGAGAGTGAGAAAAATCAATACAATAAAAAAATATGTAATTTACAATGGACATTTTTGTTTATTTATGGTTGCTATGTACATATATAAATAAATAAACAAACGTGTCGTTTCATTTTTCGTTACGATTTTTTTTCCACCTACACCTCAAGAAAGAAGTTTTACTTCAAAAAAAGTCAATATTTATTTAATGATTAATAACATTTTACTGAATATTATTACTATTATTTATTACTGTTAAATAATTAAAATGTATTATTCATTACCCTTGTAACTTGTAAGAATCAATATTACCAACAATGAATTACCATTATTTATTTAAAATATGGTTTTAGTTATTTATTTTCTACTAGTCAAACATTTTAATGGGCCCTAATAATACGATATTAAAATATTACCATATCTGTAGTAATATCCCAGAACTTGATAACATATTCAATTGTTGTAGCAGCCACATAAATGCACATTAAAAGACCGTAGGCCAAAAATAATATAAAATACTTGTAGTTGGAATATGAGACACAATTGTTCACCCATGGACAATGGTGATCCATTTTTAACACACATTTACGACACACACTGCAATGGTGTGATCTGTCTGGCTTGACTATTTTACATTTATCACAGAAACGAATATCTGAAAAAAAATGTTCTACAATCCTTGAGTTATACATAGTCTACAGTACACTGAACAGGTACATTATGAAGATAAAAATCAACTGTATTACCATTGGTATTTGTGAACGTCATGATAGGCAAGTTTTCAGCAAAATTACGTAAAATGGCGCTTTGCCTGCTCAAGTCTATAGGATTCCTATTGAACTCTTCAAATACTTCTTCTGGTAATCTGAACTGTAATAAAATAAATAAGTACTGTGTGTTAATAGACCGATGAAACGATAAAACATGTCACTATAAGTAATGCCAAATTATCTGTCAATACATTAGGTGGCGCGCCACTTGGCTCTGTGAAAATCGTTTTGAAGTACGACCATAGGAACAACACTAGTATTATGTGGTACACTAGCAGATACGGTACCGACAGTTCGACGGACGTAACTCGACCTATAGACAAGAGAGAATAGGCATAATGATCGAATATTTGCAGCTTTAATTGGCACATAGGCATTATTATTATTATTAACGCAATTCCTGTTCAAACGACAACTTACTGAGGCACAGGTGATAGACGTACGCATAATACGACCAAGCGAGAATGCACAAAATAAATATCACCGGGATGCTCTTGACCGTGTGGACGCAAACGGTGCAGCATAATTTTTTCGATGACGGTGCTTCCATTGTTGATTCCGGTTGGCCGTTAGCACCATTTATTCTTGATTTCCAAGGTTCGATCGTTATACTTTACAATGCCATTTATTGACCAGCATTGTATTGGATGACGATGGTATGTGACCACAAATTGTTATTATTTCATACGACTAAGACAATCGCACTTTTTCACTGCAATAATAATTAGTTTATTGGTGCTAGGCGTACACTATACTGTCCTCTATAAGGAATGTGAGTGTGAGTAAGGTGGCACTGACTAATTAGTATAACAATTACTATAAAATGAAAATAATAAATAAGTAATAAGAGAGTAACAAGGTCGAGTTCTCATATTCTCGGTACTCGAGTAGTCGAGTGAGGGCAGTGAGTGACGAGTGTAGTGTTATTATCTTCTCTAAGAAATGAGTGAGGCAGTGGGAAGACGTGGGAAGGCAGACAGGCAGCCGCGGGCCGGAGCCAGTGAGCTCCAAGCGATTGTGTTATCATAAATACGGGAAACCAGTGTTACCATTGATTATATAATCAATGGTGTTACCAAAGTGTCATTGTTCTATGCTGATAAGTGATAGTAGTATAGTACCTACCACGATTAAAGATATACAGGTTGCACATCGACTACTGATAAGGTGAAATACGAAATGACTACCACGGACTAAGATATAATAATTATAATATATAATTATATAATAATTATATAAATTATATAATATAATTATATCTTAGTCCGTGATGACTACCAATAATTAACCAGTGGCGCTCCAAGCGGCAGTATTACAATTAACCAATTATAGATATATAGGTGTAAAATTAGTTCTAAATGTCGACACATATAGTTGAGTGTTGACATTAAGCGCCACTAGTTAATTATTAACAGCTGATTTTTATAGTCACTTTGTAAATCAGTCTGGAACATAGACCTATTAACTAGTTAATAGGTCTATGGTCTGGAAGCGGTTTACTATAGGGCGATGTGCAACCTGTATATCTTTAATCGTGGTACCTACATAAGTCATAAATTGCTATAAAAAAAATAGGTATAGTTGCTATAAATTATAGTTGCTACTTGCTATAGGTCCTCTCGCAACTGTAGTACCGGAGTAGTGCCCGTCACGCAATCGGAACTTATGATTCACCGATTTAAATTTATCACCAAATTTAATCCAAATTTAATATGCAAACGTTAATAATTGTAGGTTTAATTTAGCCGTTATAATTTATAGGCTTATAGCCATATAATATAATGCCATAATGAGACTATTGGGATTTGGGCATTGGGATCTATTTATTAAAGTTAGGTATTAGGTAATCATAAGTATATCTATATAAATATACCTTGGGAAATTTTAAAAATATCGTGTAGCAATGTAGTAGCCAGTGGCCAGTGCCCAGTATAGCCAGTAGGGTAGGTAACCAGGTAGGTACTTATGTCGTATATGTAAGTTGTAACTTTGTAAATAGGAGTTTTAATTTAAATAGGTACCTATATAAGTAGGTATACCATAATTTCACATTTTAACTATATAGCCTACAGGCTACCTATGGCTATAAATTATAATAGGTGGTATTTGGACGTTTCCCCCCTCGAGTTTTAGAGGTATTCCAGTACTGGACTGAGACGTTTCCCTCTGAACCAATATATATTTTAATTAATTTTTTTTTAAATTATTATTATCAACTGGGATTAAGGGATGCCAATATTTCTAGTGATAGCCCTGTGCACACTATAAAAAAATAATATAAATATATAGGTAATTATCAATTATTTTGATTTTATATTTCATTATTGTTATATTATTGTTGCAATATATTTATTGTACCTACCTATTATATTTATTCATGTATTATATTGTTTAAACATTATCACGTGTTATATTAAAAATACATATACAGGATGTTGCACGATAAATGTGTCAAACTTGGTGTTTGTTTCTACACCTCAAATGGAACAAATAAAAGTCCTTGTGACCATAATCGATTTATCAATAATAAGGGTGATAATTTCCATGTTTGTTTTTTTTTGTTAAACTCAAGTTTGATTCATAATAATGTTCATATCTGCTGAACCGTAGGTACCTACTACAATTAATTTGAATACATTGATGAAAATCTCATAAAATTGGGATTAGGAAAATATATCTTACAAGGTTCCCATCTGATTTTTTGGGTAAAAAGAATAACACATATTTTTTATAACTTTAAAATGTCGAAATTTTAAAAAATTTCAGTTTTATCCTACAACAATTTTTTTTTAAGGCAGGTGGGTGCAAGTTTCAAAAAAACTTCAAAATGTTATGAGCTTTTCAACAGTTTACTCGATTTTTTCGTTAAACCTTTCTGAAGAGCTGCCATTCCACTTCCACCTAATGTGTGGAAATACCGGGAAAAACGTAAACAAATTCTAAGCAATAAATATAAAACCTGGTAAACTGATTTTTTCAAAATTTCGACAATTTAAAGTTATAAAAAATGTGTGTTATTCTTTTTACCCAAAATATCAGGTGGGAACCTTGTAATATAATATGTTTTCCTAATCCCAATTTTATTAGATTTTCATCAATGTATTCAAATTAATTGTAGTACATACGGCCTACGGGCTACGGTTCAGCAGATATGAACATTATTATGAATCAAACTCGCGTTTAACAAAAAAACACAAACATGAAAATTATCACCCTTATTATTGATAATTCGACTATGGTCACAGGGACCGCAGTTTTTGTTCCATTTGAGGTGTAGAAATACCTCTAGAATGTTTACACGTTTATCGTGTAACACCCTGTATATTTTATTAAACGTCTACGTACAGCACTATTTTTTTTTTGTCAAATCCATAAATGCCCAATGCCCCAATTTCCGTTGGACTCACAAAAAACGGTGAATCCATGCATATATTTTGCAGATGACTAAATTAAGTCGAATATGGTTGATAAGTGTTAAGTATAGTAATTTAAATAGGTATAGGTATCCGTATCCGACCTAACCTATTATACTATACATTATACAATCGGAAAAGTTCGAGCAAATAAAAGAACAAATTCTGTTTTTACTCTTTACCCGAGTCAACGTTTGGTACCATACCTACTATAGGTAGGTAGTATTTATTATACCCATGACAAATTAAATTTTTTATGATTATACCTATGCGGTGTGCGTGTGGCCACCACTTATTCCCAAACGTGATGTAAAAAGAGAACTTCGGAAAAAACGGCGGTTCAATCAATTATATGTGACATTTTTTATTGGGTATCATTTATTATTTATTTAGGTAGGTACTATTTAATTTATTATTGATTTATATATGTTTCTTTATGTTTATTCTTTTTCGAGTAATGACATCAAAATATTATTAATATTTATAGGTACCATTGTACCAAAGTGTGTATAACAGCTACTTGGTTAGGTATTCATATTTGTACATTATGTCTCAGTACATATGGCACATTCGTTGAAAACTCAAGAACTCAATATGGTTCATGTTTTTATATGTTATAGCCTTATAAGTTATAGGTAACTTTTTTAAAATCTAGTTACCAGTTAGATATCAAAAAATAAATGCTTTCTATTGTGATTCTTAGCGATAGAGTTTATTGAAATAATATTAAATTGTTAGTACAATGCAATTATTGCAATTAGGTACTTATACTTACATAGGTATATTGTGCATAATATAATTTCATGGCAAATATAGCGATATAGCATTTTAACAATACACTATTATCAGTATTTGACAAGCATTCTTATTTTTAGCTTAACATTTTTTAATTAAGTCTCAGTCTTCCTCGGGATTAGCTTCTATATTTATATTAACTTTTCTTTAGTTAGCCTCCTGGTTAATGATAGGTATCCTTGATCCTTGACCATTTTCCATCAAAATCAATAATTTTATCGTCCAAAGTTCCAACTGGGATGAGTGTGATGTCTTCATAAATTTTTTTGAAATTACCTACCTATATTAAATGTTTAGAAATTTGAAGATGATCATAATTTTAAACCACGAAGGTTTTAAAATCGACACTGATCTGAATAGCTTTCCATGTTGTTTTATTTATTATTTATGTTTAAAAAAAAGTTTTAATATTAGCTAGATATTTTAGACCCAAATACCCAATATGTCCCAATCATAATACCCAATCTTGCGGTTATTGCGGTAGCTCGCCGGCCCAATCCGGGCCTGGACATGGTTATTTTATTAAGCCATGGTCTAATGGTCTAGACTTTTGACTTATCGTTATAATATTTTAGTATTTAAATTTTAAAGTACCTGCTTATTTTACAATATATATAGGTACGTATGTATAACCTATAGTGATTAATGTATACACATAAAATATAAATAGGTACATAATGCATGTAAAGATAGAACCTAAAGTCTAGAGGTAAACGTGGAGTGGCTGTAAATAATTGTAATATCAACAATAGGTACTACAAAGTCTCATAAGGTGAACAAAAAAATCGTATTAATAGAGAATTTCGTTGATAGAATTAAATTAAGTTAATTTGGTTTGGTTTTCAAAGATGTTTTATTAAAAAGAAATTATTTGAAGTTCTTTATAAATTATAATATGGAATTTTCACTGTAATTAATAACTCGCGTATTTTTTTTCGTTTTAAAAAGGAAAATTACATATAAAAAAAGATACGATATGCCTACACTGCTCTCTACACCTTTTTAAATAATATAATGCCTAGCCACCTAGGTGTGGCTATTATTTGACAGTATTCTAACACTTAATTATTATTTATTTACCTACTTTAGTTTGTTTAAGTTTTTCGTTATCGATAGGTAAGTAGGTTGAATGTACGATATACATACCTACCTATATAGTATAAAGTTACAATTTATATGGGTGCCATATTATAGTAATATAGTATACATATGCCTATCTTCATTATACTTAGGTATTATGTAATGCTCTGGAGAACAGTACTTGTGCATATCAAATTACTGAGTAATCTTTCATACATTATTATTTTTTAAATCTATTGCTATAACCATGTAATATGTATAC